TATTGGGGGGCTGAATTTGATAAATTCAAGTTGTAGATGAGTTGGAAACATTTCCTGAAAGTTTCATTCTCCCAGCTTCTCTGGTTCCGGAATTAGCCACTTTTGCGCCAAAAACTTTTACGGGGCCGTACGTGGCAACCATTCATAATGGGGGACTGAATTTGGTAGGTTTAAGTTGTAGATGAGTTGGGAACATTTCCTGAAAGTTTCAGCTTCCCAGCTTTCTTAGTTCCCGAGCTAGTGATTTTTGAACCAGAGACCCTCACGGGGCCGTACGCGGGAACTACGCCCCCCCCCCCCAGAGGCTGAATTTGAAATCTCTGAGTTCTACTTGGACTGGAAACGTAATCCCAAAATTTCAGCTTTCTAGCTTTTCTGGTCCTCAACTTGGCGATTTTACCGCCACAACTTTGAGGCGCTCGTACGCGGGGCCTTGACGTGCTTGAGGGTTGGTACCGCGGTCCTGGGGTAGCACTTGGCCGAGGAACCCACACCCAAAATTTTGGCACCGGAGCTTGCTTGGGTGCCGAGTTAAAATACCCGGAAAGACGCACACACACACACACACACGCACACCGGGGTCCTCACAATATGTGTTTTTGCATATTATGCAAAAACGCATAAAAATCAAATAGCACAGTTTAAAAAATAAAATTTCCATTTGTAAATAAGTAATTCATTTAGATAACTTCTTCTGTTTTCACTATCGCCGGAATTTGCTCAGTCGGCGAGCAACTTAGTATAGAAGTTCGCTCGGCTACATTTCTGGATGAGTCCTTTGTGGAAGTTGAATATTTCGAAGGATCAATTGGCGGAAGTTGTTACAACTCCGGTTAGCTCTTTTCCATATCTAATAATTTTAAAATCTAATACCACCTCCTCCACCTCTCATTGAGTGAATACGGAGGAATTTTTTGACTTTTTGACGACCCGATAAGGTTCAAAGTCGAGTCGCGTTTTTTAATGTGAAGAGCATTATCCACCATTGGATGCTGGATATTGTTACGGCTACGGTCGTGTCATATATTGCGCTCATTAGATGAAGGTTTTTTGGAGAGTTGCTCTAGTCGTCCTGCTCTTTCCGTTACAGCTAGGGTTTTTTCCGTTTCAGCTAGGGCTTTGAGCTTTTTTTAATGCGCTTTTGCTGTGCAGCGCTATAGCACTGCTACAGCCAGCAAAAACACATATCGTCGAGAGGTCGTCTGAGTGTGTGTGTGTGTGTGTGTGTGTGTGTGTGTGTATGTGTATGTGTTCAGAAGCGAGTGAACATTGTCACCCACTTTTATCTCAGCAACCAGGAAAGCTGGGAGGCTGAAGTTTTGAGTGTATGTTTCTACCCCGTGTGCCACACTCCCGTTTTAAGATCTTCCTCCACACGCACTAGACTCCACGTACGGATCCCCGAAACAAATATGCAAATTTCTTTGGCCTGAAACGATTTGCAAACCAAGCAAGGTACAAAGCTGAAACTTTGCACGAATATTCTCTGTGCAAGTGCAAGCTAAATATTTCAAAATCAGCTGCCGCGCACGCTTGTGCAGCGTTACGAACACGTCAAAATTTGCAACTTGGCACTGTGCTAACTCGAAAATTTGTTGCAAAACAGTGGCTGAAATTTTGTTAGCATTTTTATCGCCCATATAGAAAATCGTATACCTAAAATGAGTACTGATGCGTCACGACTTGGGGCACTTCAAAAATATTTGTAGCGATGTGAATATTTCGCTTACCGGATAAGCTGCGAGACTGGACTTTCGTCGGGATATTCTGCTTTCAAGTGCGGTCCTAATTCTGCTTGGAGGTGAAATTCTTTGCAGGTGGGCATGAGAACTACTCAACTTTACCGAAAAATCAGAAACGAGTGCGGTTTGCAGCGAACGATCGCTTTCATTCAAATGTGTAAATGAGCATCCAGTTCATTTGCATACTTGGATTTTTTGACGAACGACCTCTCGAGCAATACTTTCACTTTTTAGTAAACTGGAAGTTTGCATTTTTTCAAAAAATTTGCATCTTTTATTTTTTCAAAAAGCGAGCATTTACCGAAAAAAGCGACCGTGCTTTATGCAAAAAACTGGTAATCATGTACTTGGAGGTCCATGCGGCTTTATAATGCAACACTTTCATCCCAACGGACGCCCTTTCTTCTGCATGCTGGAATAGGCCAAAACACGAAAAAATATGAGTCCAAATGTAAGGCTACAGCGCAAGGATCATTCCTGCTATTAGCGACCTGCAGGTTTTGTGCAAAAACGCACCATCGCACCGGCAAACCTGGTGCATTCCAGCTTGGGGTTTTTTTTTTTTGGGAAAAAATTGATCGCAGCTGCTGTTCACTGCTACCTCGCTTCTCCAGCAGTTCCGGTCAGTGGCTTGGCCAGCATTTTCAAAAGAAGACTGTGAGAAGTATGACCCGCTAATTTTCGCACTGACACCTGTTAGCTGACTGAACAAAAATGCGGATGAAAACATTTAAACATTCCCAAATTTGATCCCATGCAACGCTTGCTCTGCTCTTCTGATTGCACTAGCATTTGGAAGCATTGATGCAAAATGTTGCAGGAACCTGGCAAACCCGATTCATAACAATGACAACTAAGGAGCATCTGTTGACCCTCCATACAGGAAAAGTATTCGTTGATGAAACCGCAATCATTGAGGCACAAACATTCAACAACTGTGGACTGTGGAACGTGAAAGAATCAGTTCAGATCAGCCTCAAAGGATCCGCCAATTTTTTTGCTTCTTCAAAATTCAGTGCCAGTTTGTTGAAACTGTTGGCACAAGGGCATTGCACTGTTGCAGGTTGCTTACTGCTGGAAAATTTGCTGGTCTATGTTCGAAACGATATGATCACTGCATCGGGTGCCCGCATTAACGTATCTACTGGTGCAACCGTTGCATCGGGCATATTCCGCAACGATTCTTCCTGGCACTCGGGCGGAAATTTGCACTTGCATGTAGCTTGCTTCGAACAGTCTGAAGAAGCACTCATTTTTGTTAAACACACACTATCACTGGCCGTTTACGATTTCTCCGAACAACACTGCCGAGGCCGGATTGTTGCAAATTACTGCGTGATGAAACTGCTGAAGAAAGTTCGTTTTGATGGATACATTCGAGCGAATCAGATCGAGATTTCTGTACCGCACGTGAATGAATCTAGGTGCACAATTGGTGGACAACTCGAAGTACTCAGTGGGCCGCTAATTTTGAAAGGGCGGAGTCTGGAACATTCCAAATTTTCAATGCCATTCTCAGCGCTAGTGTCGCATTCCTACCCGGGCTTTGTTTTGGAGGGGCAGCTAAAAGCAGAAGCCGTTATTGCACCATTCTTAGCTGTTTCATTCTCAGCTAATTCTTATTCGTCACTTTCTGGGATGGATTCCGTAGCTGAAGAAGCCGACTATCGCATTCTTATATCATGCACTTCATTGCATACTCAGTGTTCTTCACTGATTAATTCCGTTTCGCAGGATTCATTTCCGGAAAGCATTCGTTGTATAACCAGTTGGATTCATGAAGGGCAAATTCGGTTTCATGGTGATACGGTATACATTGTAAGCAATTATTTTGTAAATCGTGGACGTCTGGCTAGTGGCAATAAATTTCAGAATCATATGCGAGAAGTCGTCGTACTGGTAGAAAATTTCTTCCAGAATGATGCCGTTTTTTCGGCCGATCGAATTTCAGTCAGAGGGGGTGGCATTTTGGAGAACAAAAATCGCATCTTTGCAAGTAATACACTGAACATACAGATAGCAGAAAAAGACAGCAATTCCAAGCAGCTTCGATCTGGAAGTATGGAAACGAAACTGCTCTCGGCAAGCAGGCTGCGGAACCAGGCCGACGGTTGTCTGAAAGCTCGTGGATGTGTTGCGACCGCTGCAGCAGCTCTCAATAAATATGACTTAAATAAGCAGGTTTTATTTGGCGCTCGATCGCAGTTTTTCGTGGATAGTGACGTTTTGGACGACCATAGTAATATGGTATTGACTGCACGGGATGCAATTATTGTCAAATCAAAAATAGTCGTCAATTCATTGGAACTGATCGTTGGCGTGGCCTATACCACCGAAATAGCGGTAATCAAAAGTGCCTGCCTGAAAAGCAACGAGTTGAAGATCTCTGGAAGCTGTAATCACTTAACTTTGGTAATCGAGGGTCAGCTGCAATGTGAATCGATAGTTATCGATGCAGCTGTTCGACAGGTTAAAGTGATCGGCCGTGGAATACTGTCCTGCTGCCGGTTATTTAGCGTCTGTGGGAATTCGATCACTTTAACAAATCAGGATACCCGCATTACCGAACTAGCAGCATCGAAGGTTACACTGGCTCCCGATAACTTTCTTCACTTGTCGTCGTCAGATGCGCACTCCAAATCAGTGCACATATACACGGATGAATGTTGCTTGCAAGGACGAATTTTCCTGAAGCATAAAACTGTGCTGAAAACAGACTCTGGAGCCTTTCATGTTGACGGCGAAATCCTGGGCACTTGTGCTGCTACTGAATTATCTTTGGAATGCTACAGCTTAATTTTTTCTGGCACCGTAGCCAATCTACATTTTTTAGAATGTTATGCGCGGATGCAGATGGAGCAGTGCGAAACGGCACTGATTAAACATGTCAAGAATATTGCAATTCAAGCACCGCTTGTTTCACTGTGCGGTAAAATTGTGGATCCGGAAACACTGATTGTGACTGGCGAAAGAGTGAGCGTTGAAGGCATGTTCCTGAATCACAACAGAGATGCCACTTATTCAATTTTTAGCAAAAATATCCAACTGAGCGGTGAAATACATGGCCCAGTATACGTTGAATTAAGCGGACCTGAAATTAATCTTTCGGGAATTTTCGACGGTATAAAAATTTTCGATGTGGATGCAGAACTGGTGATCTGTTCACCACGTAGACTGTGTACCGAAAATTTTAATCTGATCGCATGCTCAGTGATTTTTGAGGAAAACTTTGTGGTGAAAGAATTCAATGCAACAGCCAAGACATCGATATTTCTTCGAACCAGTTTAAAGGACTGTGAAAAATGCTCATTCGTCGCCCCGTTAGTGGTAGCTATAAACTGCGTGACGTCACCAGCACTACAAGTCTACACTCTAATTTATATTTCAGAAGAAAATGAGGAATTAGCGTCCGAAAGTGCACCGGAGCCAAACGACTTGAAGACCGCATTTCCACTGGCATCCAACTCGCCATCTTCATTCACTTCTGCCCCTGAGCAACGCAATTTCAATTCCTGCAGATCCCAGCAGTTGGCAACTTTTGATGTCGCAACAGTTCGGAGCTTCATTCGTGTACTGCTCCAGCCAAACCTTACTAATGATGCTACTGTGCAAGAACGAACATTATGGAAGAACGCAGTGAAGGCGATTGCTGGATGCTTTCGAGACATGAACGGCACGGACGATGAGCAGTTCAATGAAGCTGTGAAACAAGCTGAAAAATTGCAGCCTGTTAATATTCACATGCCGTCAAATTCTTTTTTCCGTTTCAATCTACTGAAGTTACTGGACAAGGAGACAGCACACAACGGACATACTATGGCATCAAGCTTGGCCAAACTGCTCGCTTTGTTATGTAGTGCTAGTGACGAATTTATGACAGTCAAAACAAACAGTAAAGCAAGCTGTTCAAGCGCGGCTCTCCAAGAGTGCAACAGGTTCTTTCTTTTAGTCAATGCTAGGAGAGCACGCTTCCTTTTTTCCAGAACCGTGAATTTGATAAATCTAAGTATCATCGGAATTAATCACTGTTTTGCTTAATATGTTATTAAAGCATTTTATCAAAAAAAATATTAATCGCTATATTATGAAAGTTCTGTCTCAAAAATTATCCGTAAAGCTATCTCTTTCCATTTCCCATTGGACTGCTCCATTTCTCGCTCCTTTCAGCAAAATTTTCCAGAAATATATTCTAGTTACAATTCTAGCACTACTTTTTCATGCATGCGCGTTCTCGTTTGCATATTTTGATTTTTTTGTAGGTAGAATATTTGGTGAACTGTTATTGTAGGTGTGTTAATATGGGATCGTAAGAGGGATAGGAGGGGGACTGAAGGAGGATTGGAAAAATTGATGAAGGATGAGGGGAAAGATTGTGGGGCTAAGGGAGTGCAGAGTAGGATCTGTTGTTAAGTAATGAAAACTGACTTCTCAGAATGTAAAAAATTTGGAATAAAACATACTGTTTTTTTTTAAATGCCAAAGAATTCTTGCAAAATGGCAAATTTCAAGTACTCTTTAGATACTCCATACGGTTTGAAATAATTTTTTGACTACTTTTTTGCAAACAGGTTCGAGTCCGAGCCGCTTTACGAGCTAGCAAATTGTTTTCGGCTTCGAGCTCATAAGCGTAAATTATCGCTGCCCCGATACGAATCTAAAGTTCCGACAGCAGAAGATGACGTTGGCTATGCGAGCCGCAGCTCTAGCGAAGACATTGACGAGCCTCTACAGAATACTGATGCTGGGTAAGCATTTTTTTCGTACCTCTCTTTGGTCATTTCCGTTTCTTGTACGGACATTTTCATTAAAATAATTTAAGGCCAGCTTGCAGCTTTCTCATGGATGCGGATAATGCGTGGTTGGGGCCAGCATCAAAGGTAGTCAACGGTGGAGAAGATGGGGTGGCTCGAGGGACTATCGCCGATAGCGAGCCATTTCCAGTGAATGGAATAAGAACTGGTTTCAGTGCAAAGTAAGCTTAGCACACAAAAAATAAATGGCCAACGCACGGGCTGCCCGTGCGAAGATGCGTTTTTTGCAGAGTTCCCGCAGGTTTTT